TGGGAATTTATGATTACTGCCACCAGATCACAAAGCCACTGGAACAGGGTGAAATTGTGAGCATCTAGTCAGCCCCCAGTGAGTACATGAGTCCTTAATTCTAAGTCTCAGTCACATTCACTTTGGTAATGTTGTTTGTGGAGAAGTCAGGTATTGAATGCTCAGCAGGAGTTAATCTAACTCTCCTCTAGCCCTCTGTAAACTAAGTCTCTTGTCAAGCCTAAAGTTCTTCACAGTCAACAGAGAAACACTGGCATTTCCAGGGAGCTATTCATGCAACCTCTGGCAGATGTCTACATTAGACTGGGAATTACACTCTGAAAATGCCTGTTTTCGTAACCAACTGTGGAGTCCATACTACTAAGTCCATAGTACTAATCCTGTAGCTGAAGTTCTTTATTACTGTGTACCTCAGTACTCGCTGGTGTCCAGAATGGGATCTGTTGAAGTGTCTTGCAGGTATTCTCCTATTTTCTACAGTGACTCAGCATCTGGAGTGATAATAGCTAAGCCACTCATTTTGCCCTAATGTGGAGCTGCAAGGTTGCTAGGGTCTACACCCAGACCTGGGATCCAGAAGTGCTGCTGAGTCTGCTCACAGATGCACAGTCTTAGAGTTGTCCTCTATTGATAATGGATAAAATTTGATATGATGAAGCCTTGCCTTCTGCCTTCCCCAGTATTATTAATCATCTTGGCTTTCCTATCAATAAGTGTCTGTAACTAGCAGCTCAAGATCTGCTGTTTACATTCAGCTCTGCATTACAGAAGCATCCTGTATTGCTATTGCAACAACCTAGACTGATACGTTGATATGATTGAAGGATGGGAGCTAAAAGCAGGAAGAAAATATGGGAAATCTTTCCTAATGCAAAATGTTTGGTTTTGACTAAAGAAGGTTCACAAAAGGGTCACAATTTGTAATGAAGATAAGCCTTTTTATTCCTTGCATTTTACCTCCTCTTTAACCACTAGTAATACACATAAAAGTCCATAAAGTGCCAATTTCTGTCTGTTACAAGGAAAAATGAATGAGATGTTTGGCTTGGGAAATCAGTTTCAGTCTGCTGTAACCTACTATTGGTTCTTAATGGAGAACTCCTGTTATGAGTTCACAATATATCTGTGTGTTGTAGTCTAACAGAATAAAAGTGTCTCCAAAGGCTGGAGAAAGCTAATTGCCAGTAAAGCATAAAACTTACTTTTCTTTGGAGAATGAGAATCACCATTTGCAATTGATTCAGAAATTACCAAAGTTTTAATTTCTCTGTTGGCATCCACACTTGTGCACAACTAACTTTGTTGCTGGAAAGACATTTTATGTTCTGTATTCTCTTGCACAAAAAGGACTCTAATTCTCTAGTACCAAGTGAACTGGTGATATATTACAAATCCATTTTTATGGGAACTTATAATTTGTTGGTTGTGCTCATCTTAACAATGCAAGAATTTATCACAGTGGAACACTTTCGAGGCATGCAGTCAGTCAATGTTTTTACAGTCATATTACTTGGAAGCATCTAAATTAGCATGGTTTATGCACTGCAAGTGGGGACACAAGCCCTACTACAAGTGCAGAAGATGCTTATAAAGTCACTACTTTGTCATTAACAAGAACATTAGGAATTCACTTTCCTTCTGCACAGATTCATGCAAAGACGTGAAATGAAATCTGATCTATCTTTCAGCTGAAACAGTAGTGCAAATATATTTTCTGCTTAGGTTCATCTTCCAGAGGCTGATAATATAAACTTTCTGTAAACTGGAAAAAAACCCCTAGTCTTTATTGAGCAGAAGCTAGAACTTCAAGTGGAAGGAAGCAGATTTTAATCCAGATTTACAAGGCAGAATTGCCATTAAATAAAAGTTGTGCAGCCTTCAAATTAGTTATTTTTGTTCAAGCCATCCTTCTAGGTGTCAGATGATACCATGACAATGAGTATGATTAGCACTATTATAGGAACTATCAATATATTTAATAGACCCAAATCTCCCTTATGCACATCTGATTAATAGAGCCTAACTCCAACACCCAGCATTATATTTAGACATCTATAGATTGTATGTCTGAGCTAATCATCCAAATTCTATTCATACTTAGTGGGAAAAAAGGGCTAACTCAGATTCTTTTCTTCTCTAAGTGAGTATCATAAGCAAGGTCTGGAGGTGCTGATCTCCATTGATTAGTAAAGAAATGAGGTAATAGCTCAGACTTTGATAGCAACACTAGAAACATTGAAAGCTAGGGCAAATAAATCCCACTTCATGTTCATCTGGTTTGACAGGGCACAGATGTGCAGATTTTAGCCTAGACATCCTGCTTCTCTGTACTGCAGCAGCTAAACTCAGGAATCACATAATTTCTCAATGTACAACAACTGAAGCTCCACGACTATGCCATTTCTTCGTCTTACTGTTTGCAGACAAGTCTAGTAATCAGGAGTGGATTCTGTCTACATGTTTTGTATTCCCCATCTCTCTCACAAGGATACATATACCGTGCACACCCCTAAGACCTTCCTGGAAATGAGATGATGACTCTCAGTGGGTCTTCACACCCATCAGGTAAAGGAAGTTCAACTAGTTCTAACATGTATGTTTTAGAAGATGTTCAAGCAGGCACTGTGTTCCTTGAGATAAGCAGCACATCACTCTTCAGGCAAGGCAGAAACTGCATGGCAATCAAGATATTTTTTTTTTTGACAACTAATTGAGGTAGAGATCTGAAGCAACCACTGTAATAAAGCTCTTTCTTAGTGACCACCTCACGCACATTAGGAATGCAATGCATCAGATACAGCAGCATGCACAACCATTCAGCTGGGAGATGGAATAATATCACCATTTTTAAAAACAGAACTCTGTCAGGTCTCCCAGGAGGGTTCTGACAGCCAGCATCATTCATCTGCCTTTGCCACCTGAAACTGGTATTAACCATGAGGGAAAAAGTGATTCCACAGACTTAACTTACTTGGATATTGCTGTGACACAGAAACAGAGACTAAACAAAACTTGACACTAAGCAAATGCTTATTTTTGGAGAACCAAACACATCCTAACTCTGACACCAAATGACCGCAATGAATGTTGCAAAACATATTTATTCATTGAGAGTATTGCATCCAAACAGCTAATAAGAAAGAGGACTCTGCCGAAATATGCAAAACATAAAGCTGGAGGAGCTGTACATTTTGTTTTACAGGAGTCACCTGCTGATTAACATCACACATCCAAAAGTACAGCGTCTAAGGATTGTAGGGGTGTAGCCTGTGGGAAGCTGGCGGGCTCCTAAAACACCTGGGTGAGCCTGTCATCATCATTCTTAAGAATGTGACCCAAACCTCCTGAGTTATGATGAATTTTAAAGCTTGTTGTTTGTATCTTTCCCTATGGACTCTGGACACAGAAGGTACTTGGAAAATTAATCTCAGGATTTTAAACTGTCTAAGATTTATACCCACTGGATTTCATTCTAGGGTCTCTTGAGAAAAAAATGTTGAGGACAAACATTCTATCTCAGGAAAATTGTCTTATCACTGCCTATATTTAACAGTTCTAGATTCTGGACTAAATGAATTCTATCAACTGAAACAAAAACTCTACTTTCAGGAATGCCCCAGAGGATTCCCTGGGCAATTCAGATCAGTGTCTGAATACTGTCCTGTTACATTTAGTCTTCTATAACTAAAATGCAAAGCAGATTGTATTTTTTTAAATCATATTTTCTATTTCATGTAGTTTTGGAGCACTGGGAAGGAATTCTTCACAACAGATTTGTTAGATTACTATCACATTTTTATTATGACAAAAGTCATTACACAATGGAATAAAAAAATTAAAAAGATGACTGAATGGAAACTTAAAGTACATCCCACTTTATTCCTAATAAAGATGGTTCAGGGCATTTTCCTTATGGAAATTGAGACTTTATTTACTGTCACTTTACGGAAAGCAGGAGGGACTCTAAAATAACATTTTCCTACAAAATATGACACGTTATATTCTCCTCTCCAGGGTAAAGCGCATGAAAGGTGTTTTTTTTAGACTGGGTGCATGTTATCTATGCAGCCACTATACTGTAGTTGAATGTAAATCACTTGCGAAATGCCACAGCCAATTTCTCAGTCACCTTTCTCCATAGTATGCATGTACATTATGTATTATACGGTTAATAGTGCATCAGCTCCCTTGTGGAAAATCAAGAAAGCTTCCATGATCTCCTGAAAGAAAACTTGGAATTATTTTATACATGTCCAGCTAGGTAGGGCTGCAGTATGATCTCGGGAGAAATTCCAGCTGAATTAAGACAGCACTGTGCTGTACAGTGATGCCGTAGACACAGAGGTACTTTAGGCAGTATGGCTGTATCAGCATGGTGCTCTCTGTTGGCTAATTAGTCCTGCTATGGAGTTGGACTATTAAGTTCAAGCTAATGCATATCTGTGTGGTGCTGTGTTCCTGCCTTTCCCTTGGGCTGTGCTGAATGAACCCTGCTGAGGAAGGTTTTCTGTCCAAAACCAGGGACCTCTAACAGGCACAAAAACTTATAAAGCTGTAAAGCATAAGGGGATTGGACAGCAGGCAATTCTAGGGAGAGAGCCCAGGAAGGCCTGGGAGCTCATTTCCATTGCTCCAGGCACAGGACTCAGAGTTGAATGTCACTGCAGTGTCTGCTTTGCTGCACGTGCATTTGTGGGGTCTGAGACTGTGGGGATGCTTACATCAGTTTTTAGTTCGCTGAGGGAATACATACACTCCTTTTTGGGGTGGGGCATCATCCTTGAGGTGAGAAAAAAAATGCTGGAAGGCACCAGCTCTGGACACTGGGCAGAATGAAATCAGCCACAATACAAAATTACGGAAAGAACTGCTAGCATTTTAGCCTACAAGACACACACACAAAGTAAAGACGGTGAAGATGAAACTTAAACAAGTGTTTTGTACAGCATTGTACAAAGACAAATGGGTATGAAGTGAAGAATAAGAATACCAAAGCTTACACCATGTTGCATTGTCCTCCAGATAGTCCTCTGGGAAGCAAGAGGGAAACAGATTCAGGGAACAGAAAAACAAAACAAAACAAAACAAAATAAACCACAGGTTATACCAAACAGGCAACCACAGAGAAGGTAACGAATCTATATAAGCAGTTGATTTTAAATGAGAAACTTTACATCATGCTCTACAGAAGCAGGTGAACTCAGTGGTTAAAATTATTTAATTTTTGACAGTTTTTTAATTTACTTATATTCAGGTGTACTTGCTAAATGCCTAGACTAAGATTGTCACTTTGTAGTAGGGGTACATGGAAAGATTTTTCTGAGCTGTTCAAATGTATACTTTAGGATGAGATGAATTGTTCTTTAGAAATATTTGATTCAATTCAGTTGCCTAAACCCATGCTTAGAAAACTGAAAGAAGGCCTTTATTTTTCAGTGTTAACAGTAAAAAATACAGCCATCCAGACTCAAATCTAGACAGTTGGTTATAGGTATCTGCACTATTGATCTCTATACTGAATCAGAAAAGTCCTCATTTTTGCTTCTGTTACAGTCACTAGAGAAATAGGGTGGAATACAGTTATCTAAATATAGGCAAAGCAAGCGGATTTAGTAGCTCTGAGATATTCCATCTTACTTTCAGCCAGGTCTCCTGTGACTTCAGTTTCACCTTTGGATGTCTTAAAGACCATGGCATCTCAAAGAGCATTGGGTGACTATGTTCATGTAGCTGAATTTCACCCAGTGGAACATGTGGAGAACGGGTGGGGCTCAGTTCTGTTTTCCCACTCGGATGCCACATAGTGGACATCCTCTAGGGTGTTCTATCCAGACTTCAGCTGCCCAGTTCAGAAGGGTATAAGCAACCCAAATTACTGTCCTATCTATCAGCTCAGTTAGAGATCGTATAAACTCCAAGGCATCTCAGTCTTACATATCTACATGTGGGTATCGCAATCAAGCCTTTTTTTTACCCAGTCTTTTCCCAGTCTGAGAGAAGTGTCTGTGACAGTGGGGTGAATCACTCCCAAAAAATGTATGTCTTTCTACATTGACTTCAGAGAGAGCCTGACTTTTAGGCCCAGTACTGTGAAGATATAATTGAAATGCCTTAGCATAAGTAACTTGAATCGTTTGAGTTGCTGTAGTGTATTCTAGCCAGCTCTCCACTGCTGCTCCAGAAGTATACTGGTCTCTTCTAGTTCTTTGTGCCATATCTGCTGGTCCCATGTTTCAGATACCCTGAGATGTTTCAGATGATGCTTTACATCCATGCTTCAATAAGTCTCTCAAGCTCTACATAACTTCCTGAATACATCTGATGCTTTTGAAACCACATATACCACAGCTTTTGGGTTATATTTAATTTTTTGGCATATTTCTTATGATTTATTGTGATCTACTTCTTATTTGTTAAGCCTTACTTGTTACAGCTATGACAATAACACAGGGAAACCACTTTCCCTCATTTTGGAACAGAAGAGCTGGATTAATCACATAATTCAGGCAAGGATAAAGGAACACTTTCTCAGGTGGGTTCAGTACTGGGTGATTTCAGTGCAGGCTTCTTATCAGGGTTGCTTTGTGCAACATACCTGATAAAATATGCTCAACTGAATTAAGCTTGGAAATGGGGCTATGAACAGGAGAAAAAAAAATTGGTTTAGATGTGCTACATTTTTGTATAAGATTGGGATGCAGAGGAAGTATTTTCTAAACTTGGTTTCTTCTCCTGTCAAAGACAGATAAAAGCAGAATTGTTTGTCACTTCTTTTGAGGTTTATGTAACTTCGTGTTTGGACTTTGCAGTGACAGTTTAGAGTTAAGTTGTCTGACAGTGTTTTATGAATACAAACTCCAGAACAGACTTCTAAAAGCATTAACATAACACTGAACAGTCAGCTGACTTGCAAGAAAAGACTTGTTTCTTATATCTGTAATAATCAAAAGGATTTTTAACTGTACCATCAAAATACCAATATTGCAGTATATTTATATTAAGTGAGTGATAGAAAATGATCAGTGGGTAGACAGGGAAACTGCTGTGAGTGGGGTTCTTCTTATGTCCTGTTAGCCATGCAAGGGTTAGGAGGACCTAAATGAAGCTGGTCCTCCAAGCTCTGGCTATAGTTAATGAAGAGAGATATGTCATTCAGGGAATGATTCAGCACATGAAATGCTAAGGTTCTAGTGCAGACAAGTTAAGTGGTGTTTCCGTGAGGCAGGAGTGTAGCATTTATATCCTTCTGGATAAAATTTCCCAAGAAAGTGTGAGATGCAGGCAGTGACCTTTCCCAAGTGGTGCTAAGGGGTTACAGCTTGAAATAAGGCCTTCTGCTTTAATCCACATAAACAGCCTTTCCCAGCTCCAGATGAGGTCAGTGGCCATCTCTGAATTGAGGGATTGTTGGTCTCAGCCCAGAAGGAGACAACACATTCATCACTGCCATTTGAAGATATATTTGAAACCAAGACTCATCACTAACAGACCATAAATAGTTATTAAATTAAATACTGTCAGCAAGAACAGCAAAGAGGAAATTTGTTTGAACATATTAAAAAGTAATAGCAGCAATACTAAACTCTTTGGTTTTTTGTCTGAAATAATGCATGAACAAAACAAATTAAATCATACAGAGATAAGTCCCCTTTTCAAAATCTAGAAATTATCAGGAGTTATAAAGTTTATCTGCATTCACAATTATCTTTCACTGAATTATCTTCCATTAGCTACAGTCTTTAAAGGCTGGCTGTTTTATTCAGGATGCTGTTCAGTATTTTGGAAGCTTGTAGTTTAAAAAGAATATTAATGTGCTTAGAAGTATTCTTGTGTCAATATCTCATGTCGCTTAAACCTGCCTCTTTCATTGCAAAAATGCTCCAACTGTTCTTACATCATAGTAATTCAAATTGAACTGTACTATCAGCCTTTATATACTCTCTGTCCCATTTCAGCTGTTTGCAACCTTTAGCTTTGACAGAGCATGACTGAAACCTAAAGGCTTTGGTGACTTTTCACTTCACCTTGGCTAATTCTAGATTAAGATGCAGGACTCTGCTATGAGCAACACAGAAGGACTCTGAAGGTTCTCTGAAATTGAGAGCCCATCAAATATGGATTGAGCATTGCCAGTCAGATTTTTAGCCTGAGATTTTACACTGGGCTATGAACCTGCTGTGGTAGAAAGCACTGAGTTTGCAATGGAGGTAAGCATCTTTTCTGCTTCACCATTTAGGATAACCAGGCTATACTGTTTCCAGAAGAGCAGAGAACTAACAAATGCTGCTTTTTGCTGCTGGGTAATCCCATGCCTTGACTAGAAATGCCATGTTACTTTCCTGTTGAATTGTCATGAAGATTGACAGAATAGAGTAGACAGGATACAGAATATATAGAAGTGGTTGGAAAGATTGGCACTGTGAAAGACTACTGTGATCATCAAATGAATTTGATGAATGGTGGTGTCCAGAAGATACCCAGATCCTCATCTGAATTAGTATATTTGGGTTCCTGCTCAATGATTTAAGCAGCATATTGGAGAAATCTTTAGACAATTTAGGCTCATGATCAGACAGCAAGAAATTTTGGTGCCCTAGTGCAGTCAGCAGCTGCCTGGCAGCCACCAGGAGTGCAGGTCACCATATACCCATACCTGTTTCCACATGAACTCTCCTTTCCCCTTACTCTTGCTATAGACCTGAGTGCTCCTCTATTCAGCAAGGGAGAACAGTGCTGTGCAAGTGTGCAGCAATAAGCTGAGGACATGCAATACAGTGTGTTTTAATTCAGGAGCTTTAAAACTCTTTGATTTTGCTCATTGGTTTCACCTAGAGAGGAGTCCTGTGACGATATTAACAGCTATAGTAATTAGCCTTCTATCAATCTATAGATGTACAAATAGCAGGAATATTGAAGTCTTAAATGTCAATCCAATGACTAGTAGTAAAGAAAATAATCTTATAATAAAGTATTTTTTTCCAAAATGATTGAATAAGTAAAGCAAAATTAAGGAGCACTGCAGTTTTAGTTGATAAAAGTCAATTGTTGAGATGGATGGAAATAAAGCAGTGTTTATTTTATAATTAAGTAAAAAAGTGAAACAAATTAATGTGCCTTTGCAAGTGTACTAGTTCAAGAACTAAGTGATAAAAATGGCCTCAATATATAACAACTTGTTTTTAATATAAAATAAACAATTTAAAATATTGCTGTAGATAATTTTTAAAAGAGAATTTATACTGCAAGGTACCTGCCATGGCTTATGTGTTTTTTGGCCTCCAGGAAAGAGCTTTTCCTCTTCTAACATTTCTAATACATAAAAACAGAGTCATATTATTCTCCTACAATGCAATTCTATACCATTTCCAATGGGGAAAAAAGATTTACTGAATGCTGGAACAGCTGGCAAAGAAACAATAGCAATTATGAAATTATTAAATTAGGAGATTGCAACCTTCTAGTATATTATTAAGCCTTTTCTACTAATTTGAAAATGGAATATATTTTGTTTTACCAGCCTATCCAAACTTGTGCCAGCAGCAGTTGTAGGTCGCTCCTCTGGGTTATATGGTCTAAACCGGGTATTGAAGTTTTCAGGGACAGAACGGGAAGATCTCAGAGCAGGTGCTGGTTTAGGTTGGCCACATCCTTGGAAAATCTGAAAAAGACATTGTTGGTTATATGAAAATCATAAAAAAAAAAGAAAGCTGGTATTTTGTAGCTTCTTTATTCTTCCTTTTGTATATTTTAACCAGATTTGATTGACATTTTTATAATAGTGAATTGAGTGTTTAGCCTGCATTAAAACTCCGTTTAAATAATTAAGCCTTATTAATTAATTGGTGAAGGTATAAAAACACATAGGGACCTTAAAATCCCCTTGATTTAGGACAACATCTTAATTGCTGTCTTTCCAGGAGGAGAAATGAGCAAAAGGATGTTCTTCGTGGCAGGACTTAGTTGATAACTGTTTTCAGTTTTGTTAAAATGTGGTATTTACCCAGAATCAGAGGTCATTCATAATCCCTACAGCTCTTCCTACCTTGCAATCTTATTTGTAGTCTTAGAGAAAAGGTCAGTGATGGAATAGTCTTATAACTGGACAACTCCCTTATTCCCTACCAATCTCTCTGTAGAAGAGGGGTGAGGCACACTGAGTGAGCAATAGTGGTAATTATTTTCTGCTAGTGTGTTTGTTTTCTAGGTATAAAAAATAATAAGTTCAGGGTTATGAAATTTTTTATATGCTTTCATTTGGAAAAAAGTTTCAGTGTTATGTATCTGATGGGTCCTAAAGTATACAGAGGACACTTTTGACTACTGGATATCAAATATATTTCCCAGAGGCATTGTCATACGAGCTACGTATCAGAAAAGAGGTAGAATATCCACAGAGTTAAAATTTTCAAGTGCTCTTATGAAGTAGGATCCTAGGATGCCTTCATACTGATTTTTTCAGTTCTACAATCATCTTTCTTTTTTTTGTGACCATTGTATTTTGGCTGTTTCAGCATTTTGCCTTTATTCAGAAGAAAAAAAAAATTAAATGTCAGAATTTCTTGTAAGATATATTTTACAAAACCCTAATGCCAGGCACAGACTGCCTGGATGAGCTTTATGGAGGTGAAAACTGTACAGATGATGTGTTTTGATTGTAGGACCAAATTACTTCTTTTTCTATGGCTGTGTTGGGTTTGAGTGGCCATGTTTTGATATTGGGGAGCTATGAGAGGTCTTCTCTGAGAAGCTGCCAGAAGCTTCCCCCATGTCTGGCAGGGAAAATGCCATGTAGCTCCAGCCTGCTGCTGTCCAAGGCCAAACCAATCAGGAGTGATAGAAACACCTCTGTGATAACACATTTAAGAAGAGAAAAAAAGTTATTGGATGGATGTAATTGGGGCCAGAGAAGAGCAGAGTGAGAATATGTGAGAGTAACAATTATGCAGACACCAAGGTCAGTGCAGAAGGAGGGGCAGGAGGTGCTCCAGGCACCAGAGCTGAGGCCCTGCAGCCCGTGGTGCAGACCATGGTGAGGCAGCTGTGCCCCTGCAGCCCATGGAGGACAATGGGGGTGCAGAGACCCACCTGCAGCCCATGGAGGAGTCCCATGCTGGAGCAGGTGGATGCCCAAGAGAGGGCTGTGACCCATGGGAAGCTTGTGCTGGAGCAGGGTCCTGGCAGGGATCTGTGAACCTGTGGAGAGAGGAGCCCACACTGGAGCAGGTTTCCTTGTATGTCTTGTGGCCCTTTGAGGGACCCCTGTTAAAGCAGCTTGTGCCTGAAGGACTGCACCCCATGGAAGAGTGACCCATATTGGAGCAGTTTGTGGAGAACTGTTGACTGTGGGACAAACTCACATGGAGAAGTTCGTGGAGGACTGTCTCCCGTGGGAGGGACCCCATGCTAGAGCAGTGGAAGGACTCCTCTCCTTGAGCAGGGGCAGGAACGATGTGTGATGAACTGATTGTAATACCCATTCCCCATCTCCCTGAGCTGCTGGGGGTGGAGTAGGTAGAGCTGGGAAGGGGGGGGAGGGGAAAGGTGTTTTTAAGATTTATTTTACTTCTCATTATCCTGCTCTGATTTTGTTAGTAATAAATTCAATTAATATCTCTAAGCTGAGTCTGTTCTGCCCATGATGGTAATCGGTCAGGGATCTCTCCCTGTCTTTATCTCAGCCCATGAACCTTTCATTATATTTTCTCTCCCCTCTCCAGATGCAGAGGGGAGTAATAGAGTGGCTTTGATGGCTACCTGGCATCCAGCCATGGTCAACCCACTACAGTGGCAAATAAGACAACAAGCTCACAAGTTACGTTGTGAGCTTGATTAAAAAGACTCATGTTTCACTTTCAGACTTTTATATTTTCTGCCTTGAGTGGTTCTGTCCTGAAGTAGCCATGGATGGTGTGACTTTTGTTTGTTTCAGGATAAATTACAATTGGCTTTCAGTTAGGTTTCCTGATGTTAATTTAATGGCCCCAAATGATTCAAAATTTGCTGAAAAAAATCTGATTCATACTAAATATGTGTCAAACCATCAGATCTGTTTTTGCTCAAAGTCCAGCAAGTCAGCTGTTGTATGGCCATTGGGATTTTTAATTTATGAGTGGAATACCATTTGTTCTGGTTTGCAAATATCTGTCTTAAGATTTTCTAGCCTCCCTAGTCATGAGGACTATTGGACAATACATTAACTTAATCAACAAAGAAAGGTGATTCTAGCTTGCAAAATTCTGACCATTTTTTCACCAGGAAAGAACCTTATTTTTCCTCTCTGAAGAAATTCAACGAAGATTATAGGATTACAAGATTCAGGATTTATACAGGATTGTGTAGGATACTGTACAATTTAAAGGGCCAAAGATATATGTTGAGGGCATGAATTACACTTACAAAAGTTTACTTACATTTTTTCTGACTCAAGATAAGTGATATGCTGAAAACATAATTGTTTGTTTAGATATCTATGAAGTCCCATTGACTCAACTAAGCAGTCAGGAATTTGCTTACAAAGGGACAATTATCCAAAACATGCAACTAGATTCTCGGGGGAAAGTGAGGGCACTTCTTAAATTTTCCAGTGTGTGACTGTTAGGCTACTTGTATGACCATGTGCTGCAACTGTAAGCCTCCATAATTTATATTTCATCTTTCTTATGACATACTGTAAAAAACCCAAAATAGACTTTGTGGCATTTAGCTTCATCCAAATAGTTGTAGCAAGTGGGTTTATATGAACAAAGTTACGTACAGTCAGACAATAACAGAGATGCAAACTAGATAGTAATTTTTACATCACAGAAGAAGAAATAACTTACTTTTTAAATGACCTGGCAGAAATGCAGTAAGAATACAATATTCAGTAACTAAATTTTGAGTGCAAGAGACACTTTTAAATTTGCATCCTGATATTAACTGACAGAACAGAAACTGTAAAGCTGATGACGGATATTAACAAATGCTTCTTCAGAAACACATGAAGTACTTTCTTCACCATGCTATTCAGAGATACTGAGCAATTTCTGGAAAAATATTTATGTGTTTGATTACATATGTTGTGAATTGGTAACTTAAATCCACTCTCTTTAAAAAATTGCATTTTATATATAATTGGTGTGGTTTGTTTTATCTGAATTTAGGGAGTGGATTCCATTTGAAATGAAGAAACCTGAATTTAGGTGTGTACATGTGTTTACATTTAAGTTATACATCTGAGCTTCAATTTTAGGCAGTGGAGGTCAAAACTTCCTTGAGTTTCTTTCTTGTCAGCATCTATAGTAATTCGTCTTAACACAAAGCCATTCCCCACTGAACTGCAGTTAAAGCTCAAATGGACCAGATCTCTATGGTCAGGGATATGAACCAAGCAGTGAGAGCAAGTCAATAGAGCCAGTGAAGAATAACATCTACTGAGCTGACTAAATGGAGGTATCTACTTCAGGACTAGGATGTAGATACTGTAAAAAAAAGAGTCCTTTTCCCAGGAGAACTTGAAGTTTTTAATTTTTGCAGAGGATATGGTTTGATCTCTATGAAGCCTTGAGTCATACTGTTATTTAGCCATGTGCCAGTGCTCAGTGTTTCCAATTCAGTGTCTCTGTATGACTCTGCTCCATTGACTCATCTTCAGATAGAATAGCATTGATTTTTTACCTGAAATGCCGTTTTATTTTTCCTGTACAGAGCTCTGGAAAGAACACAGATAAATGAAGAGGTTTTCTTAATATGAAACTCGTGGACTATTTTAAGAAGAACCTTGGATGTAGTTCTGTGAAGATTTCCTCCTTATAAATAATGCATAGGTAGTCTGCTATGTCATGGAACTCATTCATCCATTTAGCTGAAGTAATTGCTAAGAAGGAACATATATTTATAGGTTAAAATGGCACATCCATCAGCTCAGATAAAAGCAGATTTAAGACTTACTAAGGGAAACTCAGCTATGGGATAGACTTTATGAAAGTGGAAAAATCTTGTCATGGCAGCCAAATGACTCTTATTGCAGTCAAACGTATAGAACCAAAGTATTTTAAATGCAAAAAATAGTCCAGTATGTTGTGTTTTGTGTAGCAATGAAGACATGATTATGCTGATGCAAACAGATCAGGAATTTCCTCCATTTTGAAAAAAAAAAAAAGGATGTTATTACATCTTTTCTGCTGTTTTTTGAGTTTTCCTCCACTTCTCGTGAATGAGCAATCTCTGCAGATGTCATTCATGTTAAAAGGGAGCAGATGTAGCATTTACCTTTTGAGTTGAAGCAGGAATGAAAGATAATGGTACTGATAGCCTTACAGGAAAATTGTGAAGGCCCTCAAAACATGCTTGTTTTGACCAGGATTGAAATGAGCATTTATATGTTATGAGTCTCTTAACACGACTACCTGAGTTACCTCAGGGAGAATGAGGGTGAGAATAAGGTAAATGTATGCTATGACCAGGTCTTGGATATGAGCTGAGCCATGGGAAACAATATACAAAATGTAAAAATTTTGCCTGAGAAATAATCAACATGTTGCTGAGTGCTGAGTTTGTCACTATATTGTTCAAATACCAAAAAGGTGTCACTGGCGAATAACAAAAAGGTTTCAATAAAGAAGATATCCTGTCTCAGACATTACAAGAAAAAATCCAAGGTAAATCTATTGCACCCTGACTTCTGCCACAGGCAACCTTCAGGGAACACCACTGTAGCCTGGGTAGATCCAGATCACACAGCCTGCTAAAAGGTATTGATGTCTTGGGAGGCATCTCAGGCAGCCCAGTCTAATTGTTTTGCACTCTGTGTGGTTTTGTTTGCAGAAGGTGCTCTCTAAGAATGGCTGCAGTTGTTAGATGATGAATCTATGGAAGCTGCTTTTGATGATCTTAAGTCCTTGTCTTTTTTTGGAGAAGGGAAGCTTCGATCTGATTCAGAGCACATAGATTTCTCTTGCCTTGGGCCTTGGGCCTTGAGGTCTGACTTTCTAGACCATTGATCCTTTTTTGACAAGTATCTCCAGTTATCACAGTTGTCAGGAATGGGACTTTCCCTGAGGCAAAATAAGGACCTTGTGTGGCTGTCATTTAGGGACATGACAGATGTGCAAGGTGAGCAGCCATGAAGCTTAGAGCTCTGGAATCAGACTTTCTAGACCACCAGTGCTGAATATAAATTGCAGACAAATATTAGGAAGACAGAAAGATTGCAGCCTCAGGATGAATTGGATCTTAACATAATACTAGTACCTGGTTAATGTGAACTGTGCTAGAAAAATCAACCACAATCATGACAGAAACAAGAAAAGTTACTGGCCTAGGAACAGAGATGCTCCATTTTATGCAGTGACAGATACTGGGATGTGGCTGAGTCTGTATGTCCTTGGTTGGAAGTACAAAAATGGAAGAGGTACATGTGGCATCTCTATAATTCTCTGTCTCAGTATTGATGTGCACCATCAAAAGTGGAAGACAGAGGGTTTTTATCTTCTAAGGAAATGAAAGACAAGGAGCGAACTCAAGCCATAAGCCTTGACTGTCTGCACTGATTAATTATTAACTTGTTGGCTATTTCTTGGACTGCTCCAACTTGCTTTTGGCAGAATGAAACAGCTCCAGAGGTAGCTCTCAGCAGTACAGAAATGAATCAGGCTGTGACGCTTTGGCCCCAAGATCAACCATGGTCCTTTTCCCCCTTTTATTTATTAGTATAACTGTAACCATGAAGACTATTTCTCAGAAAAATAGTGCTGAACAGAAGGTGCATATTTATAGGGAAAAGATATTGGATAAGACCTTCAGTACTACATCAAGTGAAGAACTGAGGGCCAAACCATAAAAATGGAGACTTAGAAAGTTTATGCTGTATTTTTCTGCTGATGTCTAAAATTGAAGACTTCATTCACATGAGAGTATGCATTGTTACTTATTTATATGCACTTAATATGTTGGAAAGTGTACGTTGCTCACTTAATTGTGCCTCATATGGACAGTAATGTACAGTCACTGTATTATATAAAAAAATCTATTTTTCTCAAATAGACTTCAATATATAATTGCAGCTGTTATAATACAAAATATAATTTTGTAATACAAAGACAAATTGATAGTGCAAGTTAATGTTAATGACTTTTGGAATAGGGCAATTTTATATAAATATTTGAAACAGGAGCATATGGATTTTGGATTAAATGAATTCTGGGTCTTTGGCTCACAAAGGGGATGTAGTAGTAGAACTCCTTGAGGAAGAAACTTTTTGTTTTCATTTTTTCTACTCTTTTTAAAAGAGAAACAACATTATACAGTGTGGTCCAAAATTCTGCTTTTTCAGCACAGAGCCTTCTCTCAGACATCAACCAGATTTTTAGGCAGAAAAGGCTACATGTCAGTGGTGAAAAATAATCTATGTGTATGTGGGTGTTGCAGGCATAATATTATTAGTGTGTTGCCATTTTCCCACTGTAAAAAGGCACTGACTGACTTGTGGAAAAATAGCTGTGATTCCTAGTCACCACTTTTTTCAGTAGGTATACTCAAATACAAGATACAAAATTGTTTGAAGAAAGAGAAAATAACATGATTTCAACACCCTGCCTGAAGCTTTCTGAGCAGCATCTCAGAATAATTGACAAGCATGGCTTTTCTCCCACATTAGGTCTGCAATTGCATTCCATGCACCCCATTACATCTGGCAAGGTATCTGTCATTTTCACTGAAGTTCTAAGTGGTCAGTATGTATAGGGGGAAAAATTAGACAACAGAGGACTGATTCGAAGTCTACTCGTTTATCATCTCTACGGATCTGACATGGCAAAGAAGAGCACAGCACTAAGCCCAAAGCCTCTGCCTTCTTATACATTTTTTTAAAGAAAAAAGCATTTTCATGTGACCTGAATAAAGATTGATATAACCAAGAAGATCAAGGAAATCATATTTCAGGAGACACAGAAATACACAAAGGTCCCTCAAGGATAGACAGCTTTGTTATCTATGAAAATAAAATACAATAAATTTTGCTGATATAATTTCTTTTCTGTTCTGCAATATTTAAAAAATTATTGACTAAGGTTTCTCTTAGAGGAAAAGCTTTTGCATTGCAAATGGCATTGCAATCACTCTCTACAGCAAATATTTGTGAGGGACAGGAGAAACAGTCTGCTCTGCTATAAATGAGTAGTGAGATGAGCTCAGGCCAATATGTTATTGGACTCCGGCAGGGGATGCAGCTTCCCAACTACTAGGAAAACTGTGAAAATCAAACAAGAAAAAAGGAAAATTATATACACTTGGGCCTTCAGCGAGTTTTCAGTGAAAATATTTTTTGTTAGGTAAGGGCTGAGTTTGCTGAAGCTAGCCTTTAATTCCCAAAATATTTGGGATCACTTGATCACTGCTGCCAGAACAAAGTCTCATCACGCAGGATGTAGTCTGCTTTTAAAATCCAAGAAACATCATGTAGGTTGAAAGTAAAAAGCATCTTGAAAGAAGCCCTTAAAAACCTGTGGCACTGGGGCCATAAAAAACATCTAATTTGGGTTGGCAGGAAGAATGTTAACCTCAGCCTCCTGCCTTTTGTCCCCACATTTTTCCCAGCTACAGCAGCTTCCTTCCATGCAATGGAAATTCACTGACTCAGATGGCAATCTGGCCAGCACCCAACTGACTACTGGGAGTTAAATGCAAGATAGAAACTCCTAATGTGGAGAACGTGGCAAACTGTTGACTTTAGAATTTCAGCAACAGTGCACTGATGAGTATTAAGGGAGAGCCATTAATTGTTGGCTATTGGCTCAACAGCACCTGCTACTGAATTTGAAGGATCTTATTAACAGGGGTTCAGAGGTGATGGTGATCTGTGTATACACACACACATTAAAAATGGAAAGGAGGAAGCTGGTATCATTAGCTCTGTTTATCTTTGTGTCAGAATCCAGACAAAACTCTATCAAACTGAGGTCTGGTAATCAGAGACTGTCCAATGTAATATTTCCCCTGAGTGGCTATTAAAGGAGGTTAAATGGAACATTTTGTGCATTCACCTCAAACACATAGCACTTCACTCTGACCTAGACAGATCAAAATGTGTTTGGAAGCTAATATGGAGAATCACAGATGAGACACGAGTGGAAGTTACCAGGTGTACTCTGCAGGCTATTGCTTACAGAATTACTGCTGATTTTCAGCACTCTCTATTTTCCTTAAATCTCTTATAGCTATTAATTTGAAGTTTAATAAATGGTAGCTTTCTTCCTTCCACTTTCTTTTGAAAAGTTTGAGCTTTTTTAACTGGATGAAGAATTCAAAGGCAGTCTGGTAAACTATTGAACAAGGAAAAGCAATTTCTGGTGGTCTGGACAATCTTTCTTAATAGTCTAGACAGAAAAATTGGTGGAGATGTTTTCCCCTCCCGCTTGTGGCATTCAACAACAGAGAAGGCACGACTCACACAGTACCTTTGCTGACACCTGCATGCTGTTCTCTTGCATGTTCATGATGGCTTCAGAAATCTTGACATCAATAGGATCCATGACTGATTCAATGTTGAATGGTCCCTCTAATCTCTCCGCTACCAGAAGCATAGCATCTGTTAAAACACAAAGCAGCCATTCCCTTAAAGAAGGGGTACCTTTGGGTGCCTCAGGCAGACCAGTGTTGCCAGCTGTAGGTGTGGGTACTGAGCACTCCTGAGCAGGAGCCTGTGGGGATGTGTGGCAGCAAGACTGTGAAGCCTGCAGGGCAGCTTCCCAGCTGCCAAAAATATCTTCTTCTACTGCTGCCACCACAAAAAGAGGAATAAAGACTGTGAAAGTTAGCTTAATGTTAGTTGACATGGCATTATTGAGCTTGGGGTAAAATTATTTTACACAGCCTCACATCACTTGAAGCAACCAGTGCTCTGGAGTGTACTTATGTAACCTCCTTCCCAAGAAAAAACAGGATGATAGAAATGAATCCTTTTGGTGTATGTTCTTAGAGTTTGTGTGAGATGATGAAAACTTTGATATGATATATCAGGGTGTTATAATTAAAGCAGCTGTTCTTTCTGACCTTAATGATCTCATTTTCTTGCAATATGAACAGCAGATGAATATTGGATTTCTGCCATAGTATATAGGTATAAACCATGTTTGCCTTGCTACATTTTCAAAACATGGTTGTAAGCTGCATGGAGAAACATATTCTTTATATGTTTTGAATTAAAAAAAAGTTTGCTTAATTTATATTAGAGCCCCTCTCCAAAATAATTTAAAAGTTTTCAGCATCTAATTAGCTTTAAACAGATGCCACTTGTAACTTTAACATGATAACAAAAATCTTTCTTTGTGGAGAAAGCTTGGAGCACCCTGTAGCCCCAATAGCAGTGTTTATTAGCTCCACGCTTGGCTGAAAGTCACAGAACTTCATTCCAACCTGTGTGGCCATCTTCTCCCTCCCCACAGAAGCACATGTGCACGGAGGTAGAGGAAGAGGTGGCTGGTGTCTCAGCCAAGCAGTTGAGATACACACTCCCGTGCATAGCCTGATCTGAGGGCAACAATATGTTATGTGCTGTCAATGCATGCCTAAAAATCCCACTGAAACTAGAATTACTTGGCATGTAGTACCTAAGCACTTTTGCAAATTTACATCTAATATTTCACAGTACTTCTAGGTTGAAAAGAGTGTAGTGCCAGTTATTTGGTGTGGGGCATATAGCACTTGTTCCTAAAGGTGAGAAGTGGTGAGATGATAGGAAATTGGTTTCAAACAGAGATGATGTTTTGCCTGCACATTGTTTTAAAATTCTTTCCAGTGGGAAATGGTGAAAAGAGGAACTACCTCTGATAGAGGAAACAGTTTTCATACGCACAGAGACACACATACATATATGCATGCACACACATATACTTACAGATTCCTGCAATAAGCCATTTTTCCACATGCAAAGATAATATCTAAGTGTGGACTGCTATAAAGGATTTTCTTCCTTACACACTGAGTGACCTGTATAAAACATTTATGCTTTAGCACTTAGTGAGCAATGTGTCTAAATCCTAGATGCCACAATCAGTACTAGCCATTGCTAGGGCACGGGTCTCGATGGCTGGATTTTGATCGTTAAATTCAGGATTAGAATAAAGATTAGGGTAAATGAATAAAACAGTGACGAGGAGGTGGTTGGGTTTTTTTCTTTTGGTTTGGTTTGGGTTTTTTTGTAGACTACAGCTTAAGTTAAGGACAGGTGCCTCTTTGTACAAGTCCACTTTAGTTTGGAAACTAGTAGGTTGGACAAGTCTAGTGCTAAGCTCTAGTACATGTTTTGGATCAGGGACTGTGTTGAAACAGCATTCAGTAAATAGGTAGTTGCTGCAGACCTCTCATGAGAATGGGTAGTGGCTTGAATCTACTTGCTGTTTCTTTTGATGGCATGGGACACTAGTTCTGAATTAAATCTTGAAGTGAAATCTCAGACATGTGGCAGAAAAGTGCATCATCCTTAACTGCACAAGAACGACAGCTTTGATTGCAGAAACAGCCTTTCCTCAAGCCAAGTGCCTTCAGCTTCAAAACTAATAGCTCTAGGAGATGCAAACTAAAAATCTCTTCCTGGCTTAGAGAGCTTGTTTCTTTAGAAAGATATCCTTTGGTTCATCAGCTTTTATTTTCTGAACTTTAAGCCTAGTCTTTACAAATATATATATATGTCTATATATATATATCTATATATATCTATATATATCTATATATAGATATATATCTCTTTGTACTGGAACTGGGCAGAGGCTGAGGGACGTGGGTAATTCCTGGATGTTAAAGGTGCGATTTTGTTATGTTGGGCTTCTTTCTTTGATATAGTATGGTATAGGTCTGATGGTGAGTTCAAGAACTTGGGCTCAAATTAAGGTTAGAGTCCAGTATTATATTTCAATCGCATGGGCTATAGATCTATGCTATTGCTATATAGAAAGGAAAAGAAAGGAAAAGAAGAAAAGAAGAGAAAATGAAGAAAAGAAGAGAAAAGAAGAGAAAATGAAGAAAAGAAGAGAAAAGAAGAGAAGAGAGCAAGTAAATCCCTGCTTGTCCATATTCATTAACTGCTTGTCTCCTTCTCTGATTTGGAATGAGTCTGAACCACTCCGGGTAACTATTCTCAACCCAAATCTGTGGAGAAGCTAGCCTGAAGCAATAAGGGTGTGAGCCAACAGTAACACTTGTCATTAGATCCTTGTGATCTCTTACTTAGTTGTATCTATAAGGATATGACTAAGGAACCATGGGTTAAGGGAGAATATGATTTGAAATATTCACATCTTTACTGATGACAGGTACATCTTTATATCAGCAGTTTGTATTTTCATTTTGTGGGACAGGACTAATGCTAAACTAAAGGCCTATAGAGGGACATATTTGAAGAGGAAGAGTGTGAGAAATGGATTAAATGCTGCGACAAGAGATGCTTGAAGGGCTGAAGTAAAACTGGTTCTTCCTGAAACTATTTCTGAGGCTGACACAAGTTGTGCTTCCAGTTAAGGCTCGTTTTAGGGATCAGCTCAGACTAGAAGTCTTGGGCAATTGCACGGTTCAGATGAGTTCGTGCACAAATGGAAAACTAATGTTGTTTGAGGACTCATTTTATCATCAGTTTCAGCAGCTGTGTGGGGCCATGGCTGATTTAGCAGTGACCGGGCTGCTGGGTTACTCCTGTTTCCTTCTGGTAGGAGTACTACAAGCTCAGTTGAGCAAAAGACGATGAGCAAGTGCCACTTCTATGAATGCCAAAATGATTTTCTTTGTCTCTGTCTGACTGAGCTCTTTCTTCTACCTTTTCTCTAACCATCATGTTGTTCATAATATTAAGTCAAACACATCCAGATGATACCTGACAGCTGTAGACTAAGAGAAGCCTGGAAGAACTTAATATAGTCTTATTATTGTAACTGTGCAGGTCCCTTGGGAACATAATCACTACTGTATTTAACTAGATTCAGTCTACTAATTTTTTGAGTTAGCCCTCAGATTTAAATTAAGACTGAATATTTCATCCTTAACATTGATTTTTAGAAAGAAACACCCCACAATGTTTAAGGTGAATTGCTCCCTTGGAAAATATTTCCTCAGCTTATTAGATTGAATCCTCTTGTTTGCCAAACCTAACCCTCAATCCAGTGCTAAACCTTATTATTCACCTGTACTGTTCTATATGAACACATACAATATATACACACTAACTATTCTGTGCAATTGAGTGAAATGGAAGTTGTTAGGTTGAATATAGTGAAAATCAGATGAAATGTAATGATCTGAGATTTATGACAGAACAGTCAAAATGTTGTAATGGTCCTTACCAGACAGTAGCTCTTCAAATCTATAATCATGTATCAACAAAGACAACACTCTTGTCCCAAGTCTTTTTTTTGTCTCATGAAAATGTTGTGAATATTATTACATGAGAAGCTGGAAAGATTTCAAATGAAGTTAAGAAAATCTATATGCCTCAGCCTTGAAATATTAATTTACAAGAACAGACCCTTGAACTGGAAGAAAGCCGACCTTAGTTCTGTGTGACTCTGTGTGTATTTAAGAATTTCTCAATCAGGTCAAATAGAAGATATGAGGAGTTTAGTTATTGTTTGTGCCATAAAAATCCAAAAACTGATTAATTGACTACCTGGGTTTTTTTATCTTGTTAATATACTTAGACTGTATTGTTTAATTACATGTTTTTTATTTTTACCTCTTTTGCATTTTCAGAATCTGCTTTATCAGGACATCTCTTCCCCCTCCATATATATATAGCACTTGGCAAAAAGCTGGCATCTAGTTGCCAGCTAGGGTGAGTGGATCAGGATCTCTGTTTAGGTAAGTAATTCTTGCATTTTGGGTTTTTTAGGGACTTGGAAACAATAAACGTGACTAATTGCTCACTTGAGGACACAGACTTGCAAAATGGTCCTGAGAAAGTACAGAGCATATGGCACACCAGATTCACCATCAGTGCCACTGCTCTTGACCTCTCCTAGATGCATGTTGCTCAAAACAGGAGTGGGGACCTTCCTGATGCAGTAAAACACCCATGTCTACTGGAGTCCAAGGTTGTAGTCCCAGGGACCCCAGAATGTTTCTCCTGGTTGAGCACAGCATCTCTCTTTAACTGTTTTGCATTCCCTTGTCCGCATCAAGAAATACCATAGGTATTTGGCTTTTAGAAGGACATTATTTAATTTTTAGCAATATATAAGAAAGAGATCCTGTGGAAAGAATACTGATTTATGAGATACCCGATAAGTGAAAAAAACCCCAAAATTAGACTGAAATACAAAGTTCTTGTAAGAACAATCATTGCCTCCTTTTTCTTGTCACCCTTCTATCATCAAGAAAGTGCAAGGAGGATCTGATAGGGAAGACTCAGGAGGCTGATAAGGAAACGCATTTTTTGGGTCTCTGTTAGTTTGGCTGTGACATCAGTTTTTACTTTCATGCACACAGTTGCTCTTCTACTTCAAAATTATCTGTGAGGTTCTAGCAGTGGCTGAGCTTTCCTCAGGGTCGTCCAGAAAAAGATCTGTGGATGAAGCCTCTATAAATGTTGTTTTGTCAGGGAGA